AGGTGTGGGGCGGCAGGGCAGCAGATCTGGCAGCTTGGCAGGTCAGACCTGGCCCGTGGGCCATATTGTGCCAGCCTGCTGTCGTGCAAGCTCTCTATTGTGAGAGCGTAACTTTCACACGTAGATTATTTTGCTTATGTAACTGCACTCAAAACCAAAACCATGTCAAACGTTAGTGCCTGCAAGTTCACTCAGTGCGACTTCTTGTTCAGCCAATCCTCAGCCAAAGAACTGCAACGATGGGCGATATTGCTGCTGCTTGTTTACAATGTTACCTGAGCGTGAGAACAGGCGTTCGCAGGACACTTTCAGAGCTGGTGCTGCAGGGTGTTTATGTGCCAGAGATGCTAAACATTCATATGCCTCTTCATGCTTTGGCCACCACCATTCCCCCAGACATGCTTCCATGCTAACGACGTTCATTTAATTAACGCCTTTTTTTAAATGGGACTGAGCTCCTTGGAGGAGAATTGTAGGTCTCCTGTTCTGTTTACCTGCATTCTGTCATGGCACTGCTTTCTCTGATGAATACCCGGCCGACGTGACAATATGCAAAGAAGGTAGCAATGTGAGATTTCTAAAGATAGTGACAGCACTTGACCTAAGGTTTAAGAATCTGAAGTGTTGTCCAAAATCCGAGAGGGACGAGGACGAGGCGTAGACCATGCTTTCAGAAATCTCAGAGCGTTGCTCTTTTGAGGCAGAAACTACAGAACCTGAGCCATCCAAAAAAAATAATCAACTTTCTGCTGGTGATATTTGACTTAGATGATAAAAGTGAGTACGTATCAGTCAGCTCTTATCAGCATGGACGCGTATCCCCTGGAACGGTGGCTAGTGCACGACCTTTCACTGCATTTGGCACGTAGATGTATCTTACTATACCAGTTACAATTGTGCATGTGAACCCCTGGGCACACTTTCAAGTGACTTGATAAGCATGAAGTTGGCAACACTGATATTTGTCTGAGCAATTTGCTGACCAAGAAGTGGGACAAAGGGTTGAGGGCCACACTCTTCCATGATAGTAATAGAGGAGGTACAAGGTCTGGGGTGGAGATTGGGTGCAGAAGGGAGCTCAAGGTAGGGGCTGGGGGTACAGGATCTGGGAGGGGGTATGGGTGCAGGAGAGGATTCTGACCTGCAGGAGGGGTATAGGCTCCAGCGTGTCACATTGTTTTGTTTTTTAAATGTAGTTTTTTTTTAAAAAAATTCTACATTTGTGAGCTCAACTTTCATGATAAAGAGATGGCACCACAGTATCCATATTAAGTGAACTGAAAAATACTATTTCTTTTTATTACAGTGCAAATATTTTAAATATATAAAGTGAGCTCTGTACTCTTTGTATTCCATGTTGTCATTGAAATCAATATATTTGAAAATGTAGAAAACAAACAATAATATCATTTATTTAAATATTTTTTGCATAACAGCACAAGTAACTGTGATAAAAAAATTCAATTGCATGACAGTCCTAATTACAATACACACAAAGACAAAGCCCTGGACACCCCACACCCCCATCGATTTTTGGACATCGATGCAGCAAAGATTGCTACAAATAAGCCCTGAAAAACAGAAGCCGTCCGATGCTGCTATTTGGTTCCCCCTTGGGCAAATGTGGAGAGGGGTAGGCTAGGAGAGAGAAGACGGCATTCCGGGAAGGGGGAGGAAAGAGGATCTGGGTGGGAAGTCTCTGAGAATCTGGTCCAAAAAATGGGCAAAAAACCCCAAACCCTAGCCCATGGGCTGCATCCGGCCTGCTAAGGCACCGTATCCAGCCCAATGGGAGCCTCAGGCAGGCTCCCTGCCTGGCCCGCTTCTGCCCACCCCTCAGAGCGGCCGGCCTTGGGGCCATGTGTGTCTGTGAGTGTGGTGAGCTGGGGGGAGGGTGGGGATAGGCTCCGCACATTGCCCCCACCCCCAGCACGATCACGCAGCTCCCATTGGCCAGAAACTGGCCAATGGGTGCTGCTGGGGGTGGGCGTAGGTGAGTGCGCTAATACTCCCCCTGCTTGCGGTGCTCAGAGAAGCACCTGGCCCCACAGCCGGCTGCTCTGAGGGGTAGCCAGGGCAGTTCTCCTGCTCTGCTATTGGCTGGGAGCCACCTAGGTAACCCTCTGGCACCCCAGCACTCCCCCCACTCCATCCCTCCCATATCCTGCATCCCTCCTGCAGGTCAGAATCCTCTCCTGCACCCATACCCCCTCCCAGCCCCTGTCCCCCAGTCCCTACCTTGAGCTCCCTTCTGCACCCAATCTCCACCCCAGACCTTGCACCTTCTCTATTCCTATCTCGGAACAGTGCGGCTCAGCCACATACCAAATTCTTGGAAAGTCCCGCCCCCAATAAAAGAGATTTGCCCACCCCTAATCTGGACAGAAGTAACCTACCCCCCCCACCCCAAGCAAGAGTGCGGGGGGGGGGGGGGCTGTGCCCCAAAGCACTGTTTCTTCCCAAAGTCTCTCCCCA